TAATTCCTTTTGATATAATTTTATTAAATTTGGTCAATCCTAAACCAATTGTTGAAGCCATAATTCTATAAATCCAACTCAATCCTATAAAAATGAATTTCACTTTTTTTCTGGCCACTTATTGATATGAATTATACAGTAAGAGTTTGGTGGGTCAAATTTCAAGTACATATCCTTCTCTTTAATCGAGTTTTTGATGTTATTATGTTTTGCGTACCCCTGTTTTTATAGTTTGTTCCTGACCCATATTTCTATGTATAATGTCATTTATCATATGGTTATGTCATTCTTTATGTGAACTTTGTACCCTTTAATTCCTTTTCATATGATTCTATTAAAGTCGGTCAATATTAAACCAATGTTGAAGCCATGATTCTATAAATCCAACTCAATCCTACAACAATGAATTTCACTTTTTTCCTGGTCACTTATTGATATGAATTATGCAGTAAGAGTTTAGTGGGTCAAATTTCAAGTACATATTTCTCTCTTTAAACTATTTTTTTCAAGTTCCGCAAGCATATCATTCTCTAATTTATTCCATCTATTTTTTATTTAACAAATTCTTCAAGTTATTTAAAGTACATTGAAAAGGAACTGGAAAAATCATCCGTCTATCTCCCCCAAAAATTTGAATGTGATCTCCTTTTGAAATGGCTCCTAAGAAAGCCTAACTAATTATGTTTTCAACTAAGAGCTACTTATTTGTGGCAAAATGATTGCAGTGGTGTGTGTTTGTGAGTAATATGTGCAAAATATTGAAAGACATTAATATGGGAAAAATAAACTTTACACAACCAAATGACAGTTATTGGCAAAAGGAATATTGCCTATTAATTATATGGAAATATTTTTTAGATCCAAAGGGAAGCAAAATATTTCAATGTGCAAGATGTCAAAATTGGTTGGCCCGCCAAGGTTGAGCACATAACCCATTGTTATTTTTCTTTGCAACCCCTCCACGTTAGTTTTTTTGAGAAATTCAAAATCAGATTTCTTATATATTTCGAAACTTAGTTTCACTTTGATTTTCTATTTCTATACACCATTATGATAAACTTAGACAATATTTTAATTATCTATTGTGATAATTTGGTTTGAAGTCAAGTGGATATTGTGGTATGTTTATTATGATAACACTTTAAACAATATTTTATCAAGACTTTTCATATTTTATTTTTCTCTTTAGCTCCAATACCAAAAACAGGTAAAAGATAACATAATTTAAAAAAAAACAAATGCGAGATTACATATGATATTCAATTTATCAATTATTTCTCAAATATACACTTGTTCTTTTGTATTCACGTCCAAAGTGTCACGTTCATAAATAATAAATAGTACAAAAATTATAGCTAAAAACGTTATTGCACAAATAAACATTGAAAAACATATAATATAAATAAATTAAAATTATAACTCAAAATTATTCAAGTGCAACGCACTGTGTACCAACTAGTGCAAAAAATGTCAACAAAAGTGAATATTTTTTATTTTACTATTATATCCCTACTAAAGGCATAAAAGACTCCTATTTGATATTAATTAAATATTCAAATGACTTTACCCTTACGTATTCTTGTAAGGTCAATTAAGTCATTTCTCTCTCATTTATCCTTCTAACCTTTAATCTTCCAATAATATTCTTTTTTTTTAATCTTCCAATAATATTCAAGTAATTAATAAGTAGATTTATCTATATCTATCTATACTACTATAAAATGTCAAAATACATGAAAATCTTTATTTGGACACTTTTATCCTCTAAAATTTTGAAAATGTCAAGATTGTCATTGGAATTGGAATACCAAACACTTGTGATGTTGATGATATTAAATGGATCATTAAATATTTCACAATGAGCATTATTAAATGGATCAAATCAACTGCAATTATTAGATCACTAATAGGACCCACTGATCAAACGTCAAATGATTTGGTGCAAGTTTTGGTGCATGTGTTTTGGTGTACAGAGTATTGCTATTACCAAACCTCACTACCGGATATTATATGGAGAAGGCCACCCCTTTTATCTGTCACTCTTTCTCCCCTCCATTAATGGTAATATTTCATTCTTCATTATGCATCCTTCATTCCTCTCTCTCTGTCTCTTCAATCGAATAAGCAGTTTTTAGTGGCTTAACAAATTCTCAAAGAAAATTTATTTTGTAATGAATGCCAATATAAATTAGAAGTTGGATCATGCCATGCCTTTCCCATTCCCAATTGTTTCAAGTACTACTGTACACAAATTTGAATATATGATTCACCAATTGAAACGTTTCTGACCTCTCTCTCTCTCTCTCTTTGCACTATGAAAGCTTGAATAGGCACTATTTCTCTTATTGCTTGAACTGTATATCTGTTCTACACATGTTTGCTTTGAGCTTTTGCATTTTCTTCCAGCGTTAGAACACTGTTCATTAGTTGTTTGATTATAAGTTTCTATGAAATTCTAGTGTTAACAAAAGCAGAATATGTACTAATTCCATGTCAATTGTGTAGCCTCTAAAGAATCCCAGTTCCTGAACTTGCATGATTGTAGATTTATAATTTTTTCAAACTTAGTGATATTCTGTTTTTAAGACAAGCATAATTTTTTATGGAGAATTTGAAATAGTTTACTCTATCGTAATTAACATAACTACATATGCAACATACACCACTTCTTTACTATTCAAGTATTTTGTCAGTTGATTTATTTTGTTATCTATTATTTTATGAAATAAACATTTGCAATGATTATTGTGTCCAAAACCGTCTTGCTTTCATTTCATAAAAATTATAAACAGCTTACAAAAGTCATAGCATGACTTAATAGCAAGGTAGACAAAAAGATAAAAATCGTCATACTCCTGACGATCACTCACTACCCCCCCGATCTGCTCTCATCAAGGCTCTCTCCATCACCATTTATCCTTGGGGCCTCATATGGGACGAAGCCAGAGAAATCAATAACAGGAAAAGCTGCTGAGGCCTTTTCCCTAAATTCTTCATAACCATTAATAGAAGTGTCTGCAACGGCTCTCTCAGCAGCCTCACTCCTTATCTCTATCTCAATGGAATGAGCTTATGCCCTGCTGGCCCTCTCATGAGCTACTCACAGGTCAGCCTCTGCCACGGCAGCCCTCTCTTGAGCTCTATGTAACTCAGCTTCAGCTCCTACGGCTCACAACTTTGTCTCTTCTCTTTTGCAACTCTGTTAGCCTCCAGTTGGGTGGCCCTCTTGTGGGACGCCAAAAGCTTGGCCTTAAGAGGTGAAACTCTCTCGTGAGCTAGCCTTAACTGTTCCTCGTAGTCTTTCGTGCATGCCTTTCCAGTCTCAACTACTCCTTAACAACTTCTCGTGCCTGCCTCTCTTTTTTCAGATCTCTAAATGCCTCTCCAAACTTGATCATCCTTGAAAAAAGGCAAGAAAAAGTGACAGCTACATGCAAGCATTCAAAAAGCAAGGACATGAAGGGAATGAGGCAGTACAAAATCAAGGTTGAGTATAAAGACATACCTTAGCAAATTCCTCTATCGCGGTATTTATAATGCCCTCTAGACCTCGAGAGCCGACCCTTCTGATATCCCCGGGAATCACAAACCTCCAAAGTCGCTCCTTGGCTAAATTCACGTCTTGCAACATGGACACCGAGTTGCTACTAGAAGTAGGATAGCTATGTGGAGCCCCAGTCCCCGTAGAAGACTGCATTGGAGTCTCAACTCCTACAGTGGAACTAAGGCTAACTCTAATACACACAAGAGTCGCAACCTGGGAAGGAGTGGGGGCACCACTGGATCTCACCTCTCGAGAAGCAACCTGGCTATCAGACCTCAACCAATAAGCACTGGGGGCATTAGGTTTCGCCCTCTTAGGAGGAGGGGAAGACGCCACCCTAGAAGTATAGAGAACCTCCACCATCGCTCTATCAATAGTGGGACCTGTGGAGTTGCTGTAAGATGAATAACCTTCAGTATTACAATCACAAAAGGTTATTGGAATGATAAAATACTTTTCGTCTTCTACTTAGAGAAGGCTCTGGGATGACCCGCTGCACACATGAGAGTTATAAAATCATTGAAAGGGTGATCCCGCACGACCTAGAGCTTATTTTCCTGCTTTGCAGATAGCGTGGGTGGAGCTGCAAAGGAACCAAACATGCAGTGAATACAAGGGACATGATAGTAACGTAAAAGAAAAAACTAAAACCCTTACCTAGCTTGGTCCTCGGAGTAGTGTCCCACCTCAAAGGCACTAAGTCATGATCTTCCTTAGCGACCCACTCACATCCAACAAAGAAGAACCTAGATTTCCAACTATGGTAATTCTAAAGCAGTCCAGTAATAAATTCAGTAATAAACTTGCCCAACCTCGGGGCAAAGTGGTACCACCCTTGATGAAAAATAAGATTATCTAGAAGCACGTGCAAAGCCAATAGCTCCTAAAAAAGGGGGAGGAACGACAGCACCATGGACCAACCGTCATAATGAGAAGAATATCAAAATCACTCTCCAACCATTGCAAGACAACCTCCCTAGAGCCAATGATAGGTGACCCAGAATCCCATAGAGAGACATGGGCATCGAAAATCTAAGTCCTGCCTCTAGGACATCCTCGTTGAAGACGATCTATCCTGTGGAGTCATAACACGCGAGCTCGTCCCTCTCGGCTTGGCGACACATAATAACAGGAAGGATATGGAAGGAAGAAACAATACGAGCAATATTATCGTCGCAATCAATTGAACCGAAAATAGAAGATGCGTTCGACCCATCGACTTCAGCAACTCCTTGGCCTTGGTATGAAGCCTGTATGACATCTGCCATACTCCCTCAACCAGCTTGGGCACCTAAAAAAACAAAAGCAAATAAAAAAAATGGTGATGAATGGGTGCCAACGTTAACAAAAAGTTAGACAACCAAGTTGTAGTTGAAAGACGGTACTCGTTGCTCTCTAGGGCTCATCATGCCAGTGGGTGACACCTCTACATATGTTCCTGCCACCTTGCTCTTACAACCAACTCATGATGACCATAGCCCATGGCATCCGGAACGCCACTGGCGCCGCCCAGTGCGCTCCTGGCGTCGTTCAGTCGCCCTTTGCCCTAGCCACTTTACCCAGGTCGCGTTTGTCGCTTGGGCCGTTGCCACCAACACTGGCCACCTCCAGTGCTTCATGAGGATCGAAACCCAGTGTGGCCACCTTGCTAGCATTGTCCCCGTCTCTCCTGGCATCGCTAAGATCAGCTACGACGTCGCCCAAGCCTCTGTCCACTTCAGTGTCACCCAGATCCACCATCTCAAAGGCGCCAAACGCAATCACAACGTCGCCCAAAGTGTTGGCGTTGCCCAGTAGCTCGTTGGCGTCGCCCAGCTCCTAGGTTGACACATCGATGTCGCTGAAGGCCCCCTAGCTCTCGTTGTTCGATTGGAGCAAGGCGTCGTCCAGCGCGGCGCCGCCGCCTAATGCCTTGCTAGCGTCACCCAGCGCCTAGGATGACCTACTGATGTCCCCGATCTATTGCGTCCCAGCGCCGCCATACTCCCTCGCGCCAACATCTCCTCCCCTTATGCTTAAGGCACCGCCTTTTGCTTCGTCCCCTGAACTTACATTGTTGTTCACGCCTGGATTGGCGCCGACTGGCATCATAGTGTCATCTGGGCCAGGTATTCCCAAGGGTTTTGCAGCCATCTCTCTCACAGAGCCATCTATGGATCCTCCTAATTGCTTCCATGCCACTGTCCTTTGGCCTTGCTCAATTGGTTTTGGGTTTAGGAATTTTGGGGCTCTAGTCTCAAAGGAGAATTTTAAGAAAAGAAGATGGTAAAGGATTTATGTATGCTAACCTTTAAAACCCTTGAAATGGTGCCTTAAAGGGAAAAGGTATTTCATCCCGAAAAAGTGAAATGTCTTTGGACAAAGGACCTAGCAAGAAGATGGGATGCCGATATAATGGGTAACCAGCAATGGTGTTACTAAGTGAGGAAAGAAATTTTGCAGAGTGTAGAAATGAGAAGCTGAAGGGACTACCATGGGAAACAAGGAACCTTATTTATTTAGATGCTCACTCGTACCCTTGAGAAGCTGAAGGGACTACCATGGGAAACAAGGAACCTTATTTATTTAGATGCTCACTCGTACCCTTGACCCCTATTTTTAATTACTCTGGCTTAGTGCATGTGGACAAATGATGAACCTAGATCCAATTGGGTCAAACCCAGTTCATGGGGTAAGCTTAAATTACCTACAAAGCAAGTCAAGCACAACTCATGGGTTCGACCCAGTCCAAAGTTCAAGGAGTTTAGGAAGATCAACACCCGTGAGGAGTAATTATCAGGATAGTCATTCTCGAAAATTATATCTATTTTTAATTATACCTATCCTTAGTTGTAGCTATTCTCTCCGAAGGATTAGTCACATATCTCTTCATGACATCGTCTCAACTAAGTCTCTATACCTATAAATTATAAGGCCTCTACACACGAGGGAGACACTTTTTACACATTTCTTAGAGCTATCTCTTGTACACCACACTTTGAGCTTACCTTTGCTCTCTCTCTCTCTCTCCCCCGCCTACTACTTTGTCAATAAAGTTCTCTATCCACCGTCGCCGCCTTCAAAGTGGAGTAGGTTACTCTGATCAAACCACTTTATATCTGTGTGTTTCATGTGTTGATTTCACCTTTATATTTACTGCGTTTATTACTTGTATTAATTACTCGATATGTGGTGCATAAATCCACTTTTGTGCATCATTAAAACTCACAAATTTTGTGATAGTTAGAGGATAAAAATGTAATATTAACCCGTTCGGTAACTACTTGGTGGGTCCCAATATTTAGGTTAGTCCTCATTTATAATCACACTTTTATCCTCTAACTATCAAATTTTGTCAATTTCATTCAAAAATATTCAATTTTTTCATTTAATCCCTAAAATTTTAATCCTAATCCTTCTTAATCATTGTAAGTTAACAATTTCGTCCTTAATCACAGAAAACCCAAAATTGTAAGTTACAAAATTGTAAGTTAATAACACTTTTATCATCTAACTTATCAATTTTCAGTTTCAGTTCAAAAAAATGAAAAAATTTAGGACCAATCATAAATATAAAAATATTATCTAATTTGACATTGATTAATTACAATAATGAAACATAAAACCCAAAATTGTATCAAATTAATACCAAATTAACATTCAATTTATTTAATTAATATTCAATTCACCAAATTGATACCAAATTAACATTCAATTCATAAAATTATATTCAAATTCATCTAATTAACACTCAATTCATCCAATTAACTTCTAAAATCATCCAATAAATATTCAATTTATCATATCAACACCGAAGCAGCATGTAATTTAATCCAATTAATATTCAATTCATCAAATTTACGCCAAATTAACATTTAATTTCATCTAATAAATATTTAATTCATCAAATTAACATTTAAATTCAGTTAGTTAACATTAAATTTATCAAATTAATATTCAATTTCATCCATTTAACACCCAATTCATCAAATGCACACCGAATCAACATTCAATTAATCCAGTTTATATTCAAATTTATCTAATTACAACCAAATTCATTAAATTAACATCAAAAATCATCCAACAAAAATTCAATTTATGAAATCAAAACCAAAGTAACGTGTAATTTTATCCAATTAACATTCAATTCATTAAATAAAAATTCAATTCATCAAATTGACATTCAATTTCAACTAGTTAACATTAAATTAAATAAATTAATATGTAATTTCATGCAATTAACATTCAATTCATTAAATTGACGCTAAAGTTATACACGTTTGTCAGTTTGATATCTAACGTATCAATTTTATCAATTTAGTCCCTAAAGTATTCAATTTATATTTTGAATAGTCCTAGACGAACCTTTAATGTTCAAAACATCCAATAAAGATTCGATTTATCAAATCAAAACCAAAGTAACATGCAGTTTCATCCAAGTAATATTCAATTCATTAAATTTTCATTAAATTAACATTAAATTCAACCTAATTAAATTCAATTCAACAAATTATTAACATTCAAATTCATCTAGTTAGCATTAAATTCATCAAATTAACATTCAATTTGATCTAATGAGTATTCAATTTATCAAATTAATACCAAATTAACATTCAATTCATCCAATTAATGCTCAATTCATCAACCTAACATTTCAAATCATCAAATAAATATTCAGTTCATCAAATCAACATCAATGTAACATGCAATTTCTTGAAATTAACATTCAATTTATCATATTAACATCCAAATTCATCCAAGTAACATTCAATTAACCTAAATTCACTATCAAATTAATTTTTCATTCATCAAATTAACATTTATTTCATCCAATGATCATTGCATTCGTCAAATCAACACCAAATTAATATGCATCTTCTTTCAATTAACATTCTATTTATTAAATTAACGTTCAAATTTATCCAAAACATTCAAATCATCAAATTAATATTCAATTTTATTTAATTAACATTCAATTCATCAAATTAACAATAAATTAACATTCATATTCATTCAGTTAACATTCAACTTCTACTAGTTCATCTTTCATAATTAATGTCCAGTTCATCAAATTAAGACAAAATTAACATTCAATTCGTGAAGTTAACAATAAATTAACATTTAATTTCATTAAAACAACACTAGATTAACATGCAATTTGTTTGAATGCTGTCAATTAACATTCAATTTCATTAAAACAACACTAAATTAAACTGAAATTTGTTTGAATGTCATCAATTAGCATTCAATTCATCAAATTAATATTTAATTTCATCCAATTAACATTTCAATTCATCAACCTAATAATAAATTGACATTTGGTTCATCAAATTAACATAAAATTGACATTCAAATTCAACTTTTTAATATTAAATTCATCAAATTAGTATTCAATTTCATCAAATTAATATTTAATTCATCCAATTAACACAAAATCAACATTCAATTCACAATTTATATTCTAATTTATTCAATTAACATTCAAAATCATCCAATAAAGATTCAATTTATCAAATCAACACTAAAATAATATGCAGTTTTATCCAATTAATATTTAATTCAAAAATGGACATCACATTAACATCCAATTAACATTTAATCATCAAATCACTCTTTAATATCATTCAATTAGCATTTAATTCATCAAATTTTTGTGATCTGATCGATTGAGTTCTTTGATCGATCTCACACGAGATAGATTGAGTTCTTAAATGATCGTATCCATGTATGCGAGGTTAGCTGGTTGGCTGATGATTGAATTTTTTTAGTTTTATAATTTTGTCCCATAAAGTTTTAATAATTTTATAATTTTTCCCTGATTTAGTAAATCTTTAATGTTCTTTGAAAAACGAGACTATTTAAAAATATTGAATTTTTTTGGACCAAAATCAAAAATATTTTGTGATAGTTAGAGGATAAAAGTGTATTTACCCCTTGTTAAATTACGATCGGTCACCAAGTATTTATGGTCGGTCCTAATTATTCTTTGTTCCATTTGTTTTTATTCCTTACAACTTTTTTCTATTCGTTACCTTAATAATAGTTTTATCCTATAACTTTTTAGTTTTGAGTTCAAAAAAATCAAAAAAAAAAAAATAGGACCAACCTTAAATATATAAATATTATGTAATTTAAAAATGGTTAATTACAACATTTGTAAAGGTTAATAGTTGTAATTTTGTCCCATAGAATTTTAATTGATTTGGTCCTTAATTATTCTTATTGAAAAATGGGACAATTTAGAAATATTAAATATTTTTGGACTAAACTCACAAATTTTGTCATAGTTAGAGGAGAAAAGTGTTAATATTACAATCGGTCGCCAGTGGGTTACGGTCGGTCCTCATTTAACAATAGGTTAATCACACTTTTATCCTCTAGCTATCAAATTTTGTCAGTTTCATCAAAAAAAATGTTCAACTTTTTTCATTTTATCCCTTAATTTTTTTTGTAATTTAACAAATTAGGATCGACCATAACTTCAAATTTTAATATTAATAATACTTTTATCCCTTCACTTATTAATTTTGAGTTTCAATAAAAAAAATCCAAAAAATTTAGGACCAACTATAAATATTATATAATTTAACAATGGTTAATTACAATTTTATCCTATAAGTTTTATTTTTGTCAGTTTTGTCCAAGATACCACAATATTCTTAATTTAAAAATGGTTAATTACATTTTTATTTTTGTTCCAAGAATATGTTGCACTCACCAAAACACAACTCAAAATGTTTTCTCATTTTCATTTTTTTACAAATCATCCTTCACAATAATTTGACCTACTTTTCCTGAGGAGACGACCTTGAAATACTCATTCCAAGTCAAACACGATATTGCAAGTATCTCTTCCCTTGGGGAGTACTTTTGCACACACACATTTTTTCATCCACACACGATTTTTCCCATTTTTAGCATCGAATCTCAGAGAGAGTGATACTCACCTATTCATATAAGCCATACACACACAACCGGATTCGTGTTTGGAGATTAGGGTGGATTGTAAGTCTAAGCACTACCCCCACTCTCTTATGGGATCTCGTCCCTGCGGGTGGTGGAGGACTTGACCCGTTTTGCTTGGTTCGGGCCATGAAAAGGAAAAATGCCCCTAGGGCCACAAATGGAAATACTCAACTCCAAAGCTCCTCAAATAGGTCACAGGGAACACGAGAATACTTACCCAATTGAGCCTTTGTGTTGAATTCCAAGCCTTGAGTGAAAAAACTAGGTTTTTGATGGATTTGGGGG